GGTCATCTTCGATTGACTCTCTTCCCCACTTAAACTGCTTGCTCCAAAATTTAACTTGGTAATAAGAAGGCGAAGACACACCATAAACGTTAGACATACGTTCATGAATCTCCTTAGGTGCTTTCCCTTCTTTGGATAGGAATTTGATCACTGAACGATGTTCAACTTTCGTCAAATCCATGACACAGACTCAGGAAAATAAATCTAATGCGCTACCACTTTGAACAGACTTGAGCCACTGAGCTGGTAAAGTGGTGGGGCACTCACGAGACCTGTCGAGACATGTCACAGCAGGCACAGGCCTGTTGCTCATCCCTTTCATATTCAGGTAGATAACTTATTGAGTGGCCCTCGTATGTCTGATGCACTGATGATGACTGAAGCATGTCAATTTCCTGCGAAAACTACTGGAGCGAACGAACTGAAACTAGGGAGATGGAGGGTCGCGGACGTACGCTCCTCGCGCACAGAGACAAAAGGTGTTGCAAATGAGCGCGCCACCATCGCCTCATGCATTTATGATATTTCCATCTCACCCTCTGGGTTCCTCGAAACGGAGAAAGATGATGATTTCGATTCGAAGTGAAAGTATCCTGCATTCGTAAGCCATGAATCCTTTTTTCCTCTCAATTTTTGAAATGGCTCCCATGAAGTGTCCTTTTTCATTTTGTTAGAAGTTCGAAATACGAGGGCTGTTCAATAAATAATGACCGTCCCTCAAAAAACATGGATTGCTATACTTGTCCTCGCCGAAGTTTCTTATATAAACTCCTTTTAGTTGCATTGAAGCTCAGTGTTTCAAGAAATGTTCAAGGGTCAAGACCCGTTCCATTGATCACAAGAATTTCTCGAAGAGTGCTTGGTTTTTAAATGAAACATGGATTAATTACTTCATCACTCCAAGCAAGCGAAACAATAAGGTTTGATTAGGAGAAGAATTATATACATATTTGTTCAATTTTAAATTTTTTTATTAATGAGGGCCTCAGGTTCTGGACGTAAGGCATGAGGGGGTAACAACCACAGGAGCATTTTACTCTGGAGTTGTGCTCCCCCACGGCTTTGGCAGAGATGGAAATCCAAAGACCACTTGGCGACACCAACAGAATTTATCGCCATCATGACAAAACTCCCTGCCATAGGTTTTTGGAAGAAAATGAAGCTGAGATCTTCCCCATCCGCCTTATTCCCCTGATTCAGCCAACCTGGACTTCTGTCTGTTCCTTAAGCTCAAAGAAAACATGTCTGAAAGGCAGTTTCATTAATTAAATACAGGACTAGGCTCTCCAAGCGGTGTTTAAGGAATACTAAAAAAAATTCATGAAAATGGCATTTCCAATGTTGTTCAGGCGGATTCAAAGGGGTGGAAATATTGACGGGGATGATGCCGAAGAACTCCAAAGTTTTTCAATTCCACTGATTAAAAATAATGCAGTTTTTGAGTTGCGGTCATTGAACATCCCTTGCGATACCAGGGAGACCACACACGATCTCACGATTGGAATGAAGCAAAATACAGTTGCACCAACGCACATGTGAACCCCTTTAACGATGGAAGTGTACCACGTTTCCAGGAACTTTCACCTTCATAAGAGGAAGTTCATTTTCATTGGCTTCGTAGATACACTAACCAGTCAAGAATGCATTACGATGTAAATAAGTCAGTTGTAGGTCTCGCCATGGATCAAACTGAAGAGGAGTATGAGCAAATTATTGCATTTCGTAGTATTTTGAAAGTAACATGAAAAAATGTTGCTAAGGCATTTAATAGTTACTTTTTGAACTGATGAAGAGGCACTTTAACAGCACTTTCCCTTCCTTAATTTTTTTCCCGTGACAAAACTCCACCTCCTCTTCCTCTCCAACAACATTTTGGAGAAAGAAATTGGAAATGTTAAGCACACTCTCAACACAGAACCCTTCCAGCAACTTTGACGCTCCATCTCCCCGGGGTTACAGAGAACACTTCGCTCTTCGAAGATGTCAATTTCATTCCTGTGTCCGTCCCCACCCTTCTCACAAGAAAAGAAAGAGAAACCGAGACCGATGGAAAAGAGACTTCTAATCATGGACTGGTGGTATTAATTGCTTCCTAAGTTTTCGTTCTGTTGCTAATAGTCTTCTCAAAACTCTTGCTAGAACACGAATTTATTAAAAGAAAATGCTGACAGCAGTACCGAAAGGTGAAAGTCTTTCCCAAAAAAAAAAATTCAGGATCGTAGGCATTAATACCGTCAACTAAACCACTGCAGGTTTCAGGACCATGCATCAAAAGAGGCTTTCCTCTAAATTTCCAGAGAAAATATGTGGTTAGCCTCGGGCGCTCAGGTTCTAGAGGGAAGAGACCTGGCATGGGGCCACCTGGCCAAGGGGTTATCGCGCAACCAGACTAAATAATGTCGTGGGAGGGTCCATTCCTGTCATCCGTGTTTACTCTCGGGCTCGAAAGCATGCTTCAGTCGGCTCAAAGCAAACAGGACCCGTTTACGTAAACGTTTACGAGTGGTCCGAATCCTCCCCCATACCTACAACCCATTGTCTAAGCCGTTCTTTAAAAGGCAAAAGGCTGGAGCAACGGTTCGCAAGCAGGCCTGCCGCAACACCGAAAATTCTTCAAATGTCTTTCACCTCGATATTTATGAAGGCCCTATCCCAATATTTGAAGCTACACAGGTCCTTTCTCTTCTTTAGTCTTCGCAGTCTTAAGGAGACTGCGAAGTCTTCTGGAGTCTTGAAACCCCATTTTAAGACGGGATTCCTCGCCATTCGAATCGCCATCTGAGACGAACGAAAAAGCTAACCTTGCAGTGCATTGTGCACGGTACATCCTAGACTGGCTGATTGTGCATCGATTTCTCGAGAAACCCACTCGTGTTCTTAGATATTTGCGGAGCACCTTCTCCCTCCTGTTCATTTATTTCATAGCGTGTTTATGCATATTTCACGAACTGTCATATCGACTGAAATACGTATTGAGTGACGATTGCTCCCAGAGGCCATGGCTTGATGTCGACCTAATCTTTATTTTTGACGATGGTGAAAAATTGGTTGGTGCCGCTAAATACCAACGCAAATCCCCTGATTGGCTGCGAATGACGAATGTCAATAGTTTAATCGAATAAATCTCGAACTGGATGCTGACCTGCTGTTCCTACGGTCAGTAGGAATTACCCGAATGTAATGAAAAGAGTACCAGGTAAAGATCTGGCATTCCACTAGCCCTTATACCACTGGTATTATCTTCTTCGCCACATCCTAACAATCCAACTTTGAAATAAGTAAAAGCTGTCATTGGTAGGGCATAGGCCCAGAGACATGGTAAATATACCTAGACTGGACATGGCGGTCGAAGATCTCACGCTGATTTGAAGGGCTGGCGGCCTTTACTGATGGCGTCAAGGAGACGAGGAGGCTTGGGATTCACTGAGGCACACGGTAGTCATGGTCAATGTGTTCAGGATTCGGATGCTATGAAAGACCACTGACTGGGTCGGGTATCACGTCTTACAATGATGAATCGGGCTTGATTACTATTGACCCT